GATGTGGGCTGAGCTGGTGAACAGCCATTATCACCATCACTAAGCAAAGTGCAAAATTGAGGAAAAATTAACGCGGCAGAGAGATAAGAAAATGGGCACCAGTTTGACTGACAATGTTAGTTCAGCATCTTTGGCACTTGTCACGACAGCTTTTCATGCTTTTTAAAGGATATATGTTCGGACTTATGTCAAGGTTATATTTTTTAACACTCAATTGTACGATACTGAGCCCGCTAAATCCTCTTATAAATGTACTAGTGTTTACTAAATTTGGCTTCATAAAGAATATTCATCATTGTGAAACTGCCACTCCCTTTTTCCTGTTTTTCTTTGCTTGTTCTACTGTTCTATTCCTATTTTTCATTTTTTTCATTTTTAGTTAATTCCCACTCTTTAAATTCTACTGGTCTATTTTGCTGATTATTTCCTTCCTTTCTGTTCTTTTTACCATCCATTCTTCACTTTTTTGAAAGTGGGTTATTCAATCTCCCTGTGTTGTTTAGATTCTAAGTGGTTTTATAACTGAAACCTTAATTGATTTAGTTCACTTAATCCTAATTCTTTTGCACTGCACGGATACCGAACGGTTATCCATTGCCTGGGGTCAGTAGTAACAAACAAGCCGACAATTTCTATATGTGAAATCGGAAGTTTTGAAATCGTACAGCAATTTAACAAACAAATTAAATGTTTGTTGCCGACGTTAGTTTGGTTAAATGTCTYGTTAATGTTAATATAATAAAGTATGGTATTACAGAATTAAATGGCTGTTGTTTTTTAAATTGCATCATTAACRGCATGAATTCTTCCTTTTCAGAAATAAATCTGCATCTTAGCAAAACGGAAACCCGTAAATCATTTACTGGATCCGAGACTAAAGGTGAATAAATAGACTTTTGCTGCGTATTGGTACAAAACCACAACAAATTTTAGGTCTGTAGAATAACTCATTCAGATTTCGCGAGTCAGTTTCCATGTGACTACGACTATAAAACATGACTGTTTCGTGGCAGCGATAAAGCAGACTTGTCATGCATGTGGTATAGCTTTTGAAAACACAAAAGAGCATGCGTGATTGGTAGTTACCGCTGTGCTTGACGTCGATGACAAGATGATATGATATACCAAACCTTTTACATATCGTATTATCATGTTCTTGTCTGCATTTATATTTCTACTAACGACCTACGTATAGTGATTGACTAAGATCGGGTAAATAAAGATTGCAGCGCTTTTAAATGCTACATTCATGAAAAAAGTGAAACGAACCAAAATGTTAACTCGTGCCAACATGCAGTATACTAGTCAGATCAAATAAGAGTTACTATTTACTTTTTCAAAGATAGCCTTATATCTTTTTAAAAGGATAATGCAAGTATCTTGTTAGAATTAACAGCTGAAGAAGACTCCGGTCATAATAGAAATGTCAAAAATTCCTTTCTGGATTGACCTGACGGGCGTTTTTGAATCATGGTTCATACTCATTCATACCTTAAACAGTAGGTTTTAGTTTCGTGCAAGATCTTTTTTGATATCCTTACATTTACGTACTTCTCGGCTGTGTGGCTCCTTGATTCCGTAGTATTTAGCAGAGTGTCTAGTCTTGATTTAAACAAAATACACAATCCCCGCAAAGTTCATCCTTAGCCATTTGAGGTATCAAGTGTGCTCAATCTGTTGACAAATGAAAGGCTGGAGAAACTGACCCTAATTAAAGACAGCGTGTCAAACATGTATGAAAACTGAGAAGTCAACACAATTTAGACAGAAAAAAATAGGCTGGTTTTCTTCCTTGCCCCGRGGRTTTATGCTCCATTACTCAAAAACATCTTTGAGTTCTGCGCAGAGGAGAGTCATTTCCTAAAACAGCCAATGTTGGSGTATTGTGTGTGGGTTTCACTTTCCTCRATTATCAGCTGAACAGTCAATTATTTCCCTCGGTGCATTTTGAATTTATTACGCGCCGTAATTTCCCATTTACTAACTACTTCCCTAAAGCATTTTATTTACACTTAGAATACAATATAGCATCACCGATATTTGTATCCTCGGATGTTTCCAATGGGATCCCAGTAACAAAGCCTTCAGGATTTCCGACTTCCGATAAATACGTTTGTTTAAAGACTTTTACATCGCGGCAACGTGCGAGCTTACCGCATTTCTGATTCCCAAAATCACTAACTAAAGATGGTTATCACTTGCGTTTTGCTTACTTCTTTTAAAATCTTACTTTACACTTATGTGGTAGGAATCACTCGTTCATGTCCAACCTGCATGGGCTAGACGAACACRTCATTTGCACAATAATAGACGTCTTGACAATTTCACCGAATAGTCTACCCCGATTTGACATTATATTTTCTATATTTGCCTAGTTAGTGCAGGTGGTTAATCACAAATGGTCTAGGGGACGCCGATAAGCTTCTCCTTCACTARMKTTTTTGTTA